GAGAGAGAGAGAGAGAGAGAGAGAGAGAGAGAGAGAGAGAGAGAGAGACACACACAGACAGACACACAGACAGAGAGAAGCAATGATCTCATCAATTCCAGACTGGCCTCCAACCAAAGAGAACCTTGAACTTCTGATTCTGCTTCCATCTCCCAAGAGAGCTAGGTGCCCACACCACCATGCTTGGCTTATATGGTGCTATGGATGCACCGTATCCATATACATTTATGGTGAAAGGGCTTCTAGCATGCTAAGCCAAGCACTCCATCAATCATGCTACAGCCCTAGTCCCTTAATTTACTTTTTGTGATGGTCTCACTTTATAATACAAGCTGGCTTTGAACTCATGATTCCACTGCCTCAGCTTCAAGAGCAGTGGGATCACAGCCACCAGACCCAGATCTAGTATTTTCATCACCTACTAAGGTGAGCTGCCCCGTGTGGTCAAGGCGAGCACCATGAACGCAGCCCAACACAAAATTGTAAACTTAAACATTATGAGTTCTTTTGGCAATTTTTTATTTTGGGGGTAACTGAATTATGATGTTCTTACCCATGAACTTTTTAGAAACAGCAATATTGTATCAAAATATCAAAAGCGCTGCATATGCCTGTCCTAGCCCGACTCAGCCTAGTTTGCTGATGCATTTATGTATACAACATACACGGGTTTTGTTTCGAGACAGGGTTTCCCTGTGTAGTTTTGGTGCCTATCCTGGATCTCGCTCTGTAGCTCAGGCTGGCCTCGAACTCACATAGATCCACCTGGCTCTGCCTCCCCAGTGCTGGGATTAAAGGCGTGCGCCACTACCGCCACCCGGCAACATATCAAAATTTAAACAATTAAACAAAATTTAAGATATTTTATGCAGTACAAACAGAATCACCGCAATTGAAATTTCTACCAAAACCTCACGAGGAACTCTCCTTTCCAACAATTCCCGAGAAAAACACTATCTAACAAACACACAAAATATAAATATGGGGAGCTGAGAAGATGGCTCGGTAGATAAAAGCACTTGGCCCACAAGTGTCAGAATGGAAGCTGAGGTCCTTGTAGCCATTTAAAAGTTTGGGGGGGGGGGAGCCTGGAGAGATGGTTCAGCGGTTAAGAGCACTGACTGCTCTTCCAGAGGTCCTGAGTTCAGTTCCCAGCAACCACATGGTGGCTCACAACCATCTGTAATGAGATCTGACACGCGGGCAGAACACTCTACACATAATAAATAAATAAATAAATCTTTAAAAAAAAAAGTTTGAGGGGCACTCAGAACTGGGGAGGCAGAGAATGGGGATCCCTGAGGCAAGCTGGCTACCTGGGCTAGCCAAACCAGTAAGGCGCGGGCTTCAGTGAGAGACCTAGCTTCAGTAAACAACATAATGAGCAATCGAGAAAGCCAACTAAAATTAACCTCTGCCCTCCACATACTACCTGCACATATGCACCGACTTCCACAAACATACGATGCCCAAACCACACCCACCCACAAGCAACCGATGAAACCGATATTCCCTGTGGGGTGAAAGGGCCAGTTCTCTCTCCCTAGTCAACAAGGCAAATACAGCAGCACCGAGCGTTAGCAGCAATGCGCTTCCCTCTGGGAGCAAACACGTTTTACAACCCAGCACGGTCCCAAGGCGACTGCGGAGTGAGGGCACCCAGCGGGGATGACAGCACACACTCCAGCAGTCGTTCGATCCCGCGACCCCTTGGGGCCACAGCCCTCACAGTGCCCTCTCCCCTGCTAGAGCGCTTTGCTCCTTTCCGTACACGTCCTGCTCCTTCTCTTTCCAACGAGAGGGACGGGTTAGCCGGGGGGACAGGCGTGCTGCGTGCAGGAGCGCTCGCCCCGGGACAGATCGACGCGCGTGGCTGTCGCAGACAGCGCCTCTTACGGGTGAGGCCCCCGAGGGGCTGCGGTCCACGGTCTCCCCTTCTCCCGCCGCGGTGCGCGAGCAAGCGAAGCCGGCGGCCCTGCCGGGGGCCTGGGGAAGCGCGCAGCGAGCCCGGGGCTGCAGCACGGACGCACCCGGGACTCACCTCACTAGTCCGGGGCTGGTGGGAAGGAGCACGGCCGCGAAGGCCCCACGCCGGGCCAGGCAGGACGCCCGCCGCCGCCGGAGACCGCGCAGGGAGCCGCAGAGCGAGGCCGACTTCTCCGGGGAGCTCCGACGTCGGACCCCGGAGCCCAGCGCGGCCGGGAGGTGCGAGCAGCGCACCGATGTTCTCGCCCCGCCCCCCGGGGGGGCGGTGCCCTAAGAGACCAATAAGGAGCCGAGTCGGCAAGAGCGACAGCCCCGCAGACCCGTTGACACAAGCCAGGGGTCCTCGCTCAGCCGGAAAACAGATCCCCACATACTGGGTTCCGGGGCTTTCCTCGCCTCTTCCGTTTCCGTCTCCGGGGGAAGGGATCCGAGTCTCTCGCTTTAGGGGATCGTGCTCGGTGGCGCGATTGATTGATTGTTGTTTTATGGCAATCTTAATGTGGTTAGCCTAGCCACCCCGAGGAAAAAGATAATGAAAATGGATTCGCTTAAAGAACACCACACAGTTTGGCTTATTTGATGCAAAGGGATCTCAAGGGTTTGCGGGATGGAGGAGCCAGGGCATGAGTGTGGAGATGGGATCATACAACTAATGAAGTGAAGAGACGAGGTGGAAAGGGGGGTTTATACAGAGAAAATGAGGAATAGGAATGAGCCTGGCCGGGATACAGAGCAGTATTTGTTCACTAACAGGATTACGTCATTTGGACTCAATTCAAACAAAGTACACTTAGTACCCAGGAGTAAGGACACAATACTCAGGTAGATAAAAGATCCCTCTGTCCTCGGATAGCTGAATGAGAAGATACTGACCAGACAATAATGAGAAAAGGCAACTAGAGTGATAACTGACTGCGAAGAGCACTGGCCTATGAGCTGTAAGGTGCTCGGCCATTAAGATCGTAGCAACTAAAGTGACTCCGTTTTGGCCCAAGCAACCATGGCTGTCACCAACTTGAGTTTCTTAAGGCAGTCCCAGGAAGTTAAGCCCGTTAAACTGGTCCAGGAAATGCTGACCACTGAAGCCCCTTTGCCTTTTCCCAGGACTGTAGCTTTTGTAAAATGATGACCTAACTGCTTATTTTGGCTTCTGTGAGCAGGATGTCTCGCACAAGATTTGTCTTTCGAATATGTTCGGCTTATTCACACAAACTGTTTTTGTTTTTTCAAGACAGGGTTTCACAGTGTAACCGAGGCTGTCCTGAAACTCGCTCTGTAGACCAGGTTGGCCTTGGACTCAGAGATCCGCCTGCCTGCCTTAGCTGCTGAGTGTTAGTGTTGGGATTAAAGGCATGCACCACCCCCACCTACCCACGCAAACATTTTTTCAAGTTAAACAGACATCTCCCCGCGCTGGGAACAGTTGTTTGGACAGAACTGCCGAGGCTGGTTCCACTGTCTCTGGTAAGGATGCCCTGGAAGCTTGCAGCCTGGGAAGTTGGCACTGGTGGAGGAGGTTCAGGGGGTCCTAGAGAGCAGAAGCCAAGAGCTAGCACTCACTCTGTGGGCCCCGAGATGATCTCTGAGGCCAGGGACACGCAGCCTCAAGGTATTGATGGGTATTGATGCCCATGGGTATCAACAGACACACAGGCTAGACACGCGTTGTTTAGGGATCGTGGTGGCAGTGTGGTCCTAAAGAACACAAAGTTCCAATTTTTCTGTCATTTCACTGGGCTTTGTAACAAGAGGGCTCACGGCTTGTGGCTGCTTCGCTATCATATCAACATCACCTTAAGGTTTTGGTTTTTTTTTTTTTTTTTTAGCATATCAAGGCCGGTCCTTGGCTAGGTTGGTAGCTGGGCTGCCGGGTGGCCTGCCTCTAGCTCTTACCTTCTATCTCACGTGCATTACGTTATTCCAAGTCGCACAAAATGGTTTCTGCGTTACACAGAATGGTTTTTAAGTTATGTCCCTGACATTGGAGCACAGGAGTATCTCATTAAAAGACCAGAAGGAATCAGGGACCGTTTCCTTAAAGGAAGACATCTTTAAACTGAAACCTGCGGCCTTAATTGGTTGAAGTCAAATGTGAAAGCTGAAGTTTTCCAGGAAGAATGAAAATAGGTAAGAAAGTGTCTAATTCTCAGATACTGGGACACAAGGCTGAGGTGCCCATTTAACATATCAAAGTGGAGGCTGACTGCCAGGTTCTCCCAGCATCCCTTAGTCCCTTCCTGTCACAGGGTCCTCCCGGCTTGCACACCCTGTCCCCTACTGTTGTAGGAATTTAGCTAGTCACTGTGTCTAGGGTAAACCGAGTGAAGAGTTGTTTTTTAGAAGTACTCTGACCTTGAAGAGTCTTTGTGGAAAACAGTGATTGTTCTCCATGATTTGGAGAACTGGTTTCCAGAAGGAGCTTTGCAGCCTTCACATGACTTCGGTCACAGGATGCCTCTGACACACCTAAGGATAATTGCAAGTCAAGGACTCAAGTCTCCAGGGCATGTGATGCTTTCCTTCAGAGAGACACAGATTAGATAGGACCTCGTTTGATATGAGGAAATACTTTACCCAAAAAACAATGTCGTGTAACAATAAATATGCCTTTGTACAGCTGTTGGGGTTCAGTTCATCAGAGTCCAGACCTTCCTGATGCCACACGGGCTTTAAAATCTCATCTCAGAGTGACCTCTTTCTTCAGCCGACCCCTACAACACAGTACACCCAGACACCCTCCCCTGAACTCTCCAGCCCGGAGGGCTGGGCTGCTCTCCCCTGTGTAATCCAGCCATTTTGGTCGCCCACTCCTTTTGTACCTTTATTCTCTCCGCTGCTGTGCCTGGTGCTGGTTTTATTTTATTTACTTATTTATTTAGATATTTCGAGACAGGGTTTCTCTGCGTAGCTTTGCGCCTTTCCTGGAGCTCATTTGGTAGCTCAGGCTGGCCTTGAACTCAGAGATCAGCCTGACTCTGCCTCCCAAGTGCTGGGATTAAAGGTGTACGCCACCACTGCCTGGCCTGGTGTTGGTTTTAAATGGGGCGCTTTGGTCACGAGGCACGAGCCACAACAAGAACCAGTGGCGCACGCCTTTAATCCCAGCACCCGGGAGGCAAGGAAGGCGGATCTCTGTGAGTTCGAGGCCAGCCTGGACTACAGAGTGAGATTCAGGAAAGGCTCCAAAGCTACACAGAGAAACCCTGTCTTGAAAAACCAAACAAAACAACAACAACAAAAGAGCCAGACCTGGGGAGAAGCAAGTGCAAAGAGCAAAGAGAGAGGTAGTGGGGGCAGGAGAGAACAGAGGGAGGAGGAGGAGGTGTCTGTGTCCAGGTTTTTATGGCGCAGGTGGGCTTACGGAGCTACGCCACACATGCGCAGATTGTGTGACCATGCTGCACATATTACACAATCACACAGCGCATGGATGAGCCCCTTGCTTGGCTACTGAACTGCGCATGTGCGGTCATGCAGCTGCAGGAGTGGCCAAGAATTCTAACACCTGGTCCCCCCTCTCCTTCCCCTTCTCCCCACATGGCCCAGCTCAGTCAGGGTCATGTCCACTTTGGACTCTCCCAGATGTCTCTGTCCCTGTCTCTACATACACTCTCCCTCTCACCTACAATAAACTCCAGGATACCTAGGAGCACTCATGCTCTTTTTATTTCTTTTTTCATTCAGTGTCAAGACTTGGCCCTGATATTATGAATTACAAGTTGGTAATTAGGGCAGTGGTCACATTTGTATTGAAAAATTATCTTTGGAATATAATAGTAGGAGGGAAGAAATGGAGTCAGACTATTTGGAAGCTGTTGGGAGCAGTGGTTCTCAACCTTCCTAATGCTGCGACCCTTTAATCCTCACGTTGTACTGACCCCAACTGTAAAATTACTTCATTGCTACTTCATAACTGTAATTTTTTTAAAAGATTTATTATGTGCACAGTGTTCTGTCTGCATGTACACCTGCATGCCAGAAGAGGGCACCAGATCTCATTACAGATGGTTGTGAGCCACCATGTGGGTGCTGGGAATTGAACTCAGGACCTCTGGAAGAGCAGCCAGTGCTCTTAACCCCTGAGCCATCTCTCCAGCCCCATAACTGTAATTTTGTTACTGTTTTGAATCATAATAAAAATACCTGATATGTACCCCCCAAAAGGGGTCATGACCCACAGGTTGAGAACCACTGTTCTAGAGTCCCGTGAGTTTGAGAACAGGGAGACAGTAACATGTAAAACAGGTAGGCCACAAGGCTCCTGTACTACTTGGCTGAGAAACTGGAGCGCAGAGGTAACCCACAGAGGATCCAGACTCTTATCATACTGGAATTGGATTGGCTGGGGGAAGGTGTGTATGGGGAGCCACTGGAAACTAACCATATATCCCTGGGATTAAGTTTTAAAAGTTTCGCTGGGCAGTGGTGGTGCACGCCTTTTATCCCAGCACTCGGGAGGCAGAGGCAGGCAGATCTCTATGAGTTTGAGGCCAGCCTGGGCTACAGAGTGAGATCCAGGAAAGGCGCAAAGCTACACAGAGAAACCTTGTCTTAAAAAACAAACAAAAAACAAAAACAAACAAAAAATTAAATAAATAAAAAATAATTTTTTAAAAAAAGTTTGGCTTCATGCATGCTAGGCAAGCACTCTCTCAACTGAGTTATATTCCCAGTCATGTCATCAATACTGTTTTGAATAAAGTGTTGCTTTGAAAAAGACAAACACACAGGACCAAGTGTACTCCCTACAACCTTGAAGAAGCTATACACCAAACTATGCAAAGCTCATATAAAAAGTTGCAGCTGGATAGCGGTGGCGCACGCCTTTAATCCCAGCACTCGGCAGGCAGGCGCATCTCTGTGAGTTCGAGGCCAGTCTGGTCTACTGAGCGAGATCCAGGACAGGCACCAAAACTACACAGAAAAACCTTGTCTCAAAAAACTCAATTTTTGCAAATATCATGAAAAGCTACACATACCAATTTGCTGGTCTTTGAAAACTCTGTTTTTATTCCTGGGGGCCCCCAAACAACATTGCTTTGGCACAAAACTAGAGGGCAGGATCATGTTGAAGAAAGTATTTTGGTTGCAGGACAGAGAAATGAGTGCGGAACATGGCTGGAAGCCTCCTCCTTGCTGCCGAGCTTTTCTAGGCCTGGAAGGTGCTGTGCAGCTTGCTGGGGTGGACTGCCACCA